GTTTACTACACCCGGAAAAGTACTCTTGAAGCTACTGAGATGTTCCGTCGACGATACGGGTAAGCGCATGTGAAAACCGACTGCCGTAGAAATGAACTCCTTGTGGATTTCAGTGCCGACTTTCCAAGTTTGGAAGAAATCGCTGCTGACTCCGATGTGGTGTTCGTGTCTACGGACGAGTTTGTTGATTTACCTCGTCCCACGCTTCCTCATATAGTTCACATTGGAGGACTGGGAGTGGGGGACGCTTCGAAGAATGGAGGCTTAGATGAGGTAACTTAGTCTGCGTACAAGCCTTTGAATCTTATGAAAAAAGCCTAATTATTTTAGACATTCTCAGAACAAATGCAAAAAGGATTCGAAAGGAGTCATCTACTTTTCGCTGGGAACGCTCGTCAACACTTCGTCGTTGCCTGCTTTCGCAATGAAAGCCGTGGTGGAAGCAGCAAGACAAACTCCTGACTATCATTTCATTTTGGTTGTAGACAGCAACGACAAGGTACGACGGCAGAGCACTCAGAGTTACCATTAAGAAATTAGGCGAAGGGAAACCGCGTTGAACTCCACCTAATTTACTACTATTCATCTACTACGACCTAAATTTCCTAAATTCGTCCTGGACAACAAGGCAGCTATTCTGTGAGATAAGCCGCTACCAAGCCTTTATGGTAACTTACCGTACATATACAGGGGGGGGGGCAGAAAAAAGTCACTTCTCTCTACATTTGAGGTGAAGTTAATTACATGTTGCTAAATTCAAAGCGAATAAAAGCAAATGAAATTCGAAGAGCACATTACAAGCTATCAACATGCTACATAACAGCCTTTTGTACTGACGACATCTGCAGATTTTCCCACGAGAACATGGTGTATGGTTTGATCTCAGCGAGGTTCATGACGGATCGTGAACCACTACGACGTTTTTCCCAACGCTAGTCGGAAGGGATCTTGCAGACAAGTCTAGTCAAAGCTCTGTAGCTGAGAAGCTATCCACCAGTAAACCGGTTGAAAAAATTATGTAGCAGCTTCAAGCTGGAGCGATTACGGTGGGCCTTCCTTGAGCTCGACGGTGATGGCAGATGACGTCATATTCTGAAGACGGTGAGGGCAGTGAAGGAGGGCCTGCTTCTGCTTATGGGGGGCATCTAAGGAATATTTGCCGTAAAACTCATTCATTAACAGCGGCACTCCTGTGCGAAGAAAAGTTTGATGATGTGCGCCATGGGCAATATGACGCTTTGCCTTCCTGCCACTATCGTGAAGATGTTCAACGAGCCGATGATATTCCTCGTCGATGTTTTCGATGACGGAATCCTCCCATAAGCTGACGAGGAAGCGAAGTGGTCCCAGTTGATGACTGTCCTGGGGCTTCGCTTCCTGAACTTTGCTGCTCTCTCAACACGCATCGAGAAGTGGAATCTTGCGCGGAGGAGACGATGGTCCGATCCCGTGTAGAACTTTGGAACAACAGCGACGTCGGTCAGGCAAAACCTTCGATTGAAGATGATGTGGTCTATCTCGTTATGGAACTGTCCATCAGGTGACTCCCAAGTCCAACGAAGGTGAGGGGGCTTTTGGAACTGTGAGTTACCATGGATGGTGTTGGTCGACATGATAAACTCCGACAGTCTCTCACCCTGCTCATTCCATTCCATTCCGTGAGTACCGATGTGAAGTTCTTCAGCCGTTCTTCTTGGGCCAATCTTAGCGTTGAAGTCGCCGACGATGACTTCCGTATAGAACTTAAAGTACGAAGCAGTTTGTTTTCTATAGGACTATCACAACTGCTCGATAGCGGCGCCTAACCTGATATTGGTGCGGAATCATGAAACAGCTTACCCGTAAACGATATTGATCACAACTGTTCGGAAAGGTATTTCGACAGATTTGTGCAACTTAAGAGGAGCACCTTTTCATATGAGTCCATTCACCTACGATAAAAAATGGCATCGTAAAATACGTCGCATCTGCATATTCATCGCAAAGGGTAACGCATTGACCATGACTAGGTTTGAGATATCAGACTATAGTTTGAGGCGCGACAAAGAAAGGGAGATCTAGACTAAGGAAAAAGGTAGGAGAGAGGAGCAAGTGCTGCAACGATGTCAAGGAACCCAAGGAGAAACCGGTCCGGAACTCTACAAATCGGACCATATTTTGGCCGTTGATCTTCGCATTGGAGCGAGTCTCACTGGTAAGGACATCGTCAAGCGAGCAGTGCGCTCCGCGTCTTTGGTTGCTCTTCGCGACTAAAGTCCGAAGGCGAGGAGGAGGGGGAAAGAGACCAGTCCGTGCGGCGTTGCGAGCGTGGTTGGTACGGCTCTGCTAGCCCTCTAGAGACTACCCTTCGCTGCGAAACGCACCCCATTCCGCACCCTTCGAAAGACTGCCTGCCTTTCCATTACTTCCTGATTCCCACTGTTCTAGCTCACGATGCAAGCTTTGCATTGATGTGATTATGTCACTTCAACTGAGAGCTCATTTCTCATGGAAAAAGCTAACGCTGTGCGTAAGGAAACAGGTTACAAGGCTTCTGTTAATTGAAGGATAAAAACACTGGGTAGAAACGAAAAACCACGTTGCTGTATGGTAGTGAATAAGCCATAGGGGACTGGAGCTTTTGAAGGATATAAAATAAACCGGAGAAAATTGGCTCTGTTGTCAGCTTTTACTGACTCCACTTGTGGCGATATCGCCCACAACCGGTCTACGACAAGTGTACATACTTAACGCGAATCCCAACTACTCCTGTACATCGGAAACAACTCGAAATTTGGGCAAAATGATGCCTTTGTCCAAGCCGTGTGCTGGAGAAAGTGTAACGGTTTCATAAAGTAGCTTCAACGACGACGCAGTGGCGTAGTGATGGACTCTGGTTGGCACGGTGCGCTGGGAGGGTTGTTGGTTCGACACCTTACTGCGCGCGGTTTTTGCATTTTTGGTTTAGACATCAATGTGAGTGGCCAAATGGTACTATCTCTATGTTAATTTCCATATTCATGATCGGGGTCATGAAGGTCATGAATAACCCCCATTAGATGAGCTTTCCTCGAAAACTGGAAGCCGAATACGTCGCCGGGCCGAGACGGACCGTCAAATTGCGGTTTGGGCGCCAGACAAGAATGATCAGGGCGCTGATCTAAACTAGTTTTGACTCGATCGGATAAAATTGGACGCGGTAGGGACCACCCGAAGTATGTACCGACGGCTGGAGGCGGAGATCGGAGGTGAAATGGGGTGGAGGTATACCCTCCGAGTTAAATAACATGTAACTCCGAGAGTTTGTCTCATAATGCGCTACACGCGTCGATTGCGTACTTTTAGGTTGATCTAGCTACAGTAGGTGTAGGGCCAAAAATTGGACCAACCGCTAATCGGAGGGAGGAGGAGAACCTAGCGACCTTGTCATCGTGCGTGGTCCCTCGATCATCACGGCTTGGTGTCTGCCATTGTTCATTGTAGGTCAGGATTTCTCATTTCTAGAGTAGATTCTAGATGACAAGGAGACCGCCTTCAAATCATCCACCGTCAGGCTCGACGGCTATTGACTTATGGTCGAACTGTTCGAAATTGGGTCAAAATCTTATTTTCTCTGAAACTTCGGTTGGGTTATCCAGTGCCCTGATTACGATTATGACATTCGTTTTTGGCGCTGACGTCATCTGGTGCCGCTATGACGCCATTCGGTGCCACATTGGTGCCGTTTTGGTGTCACAAATTCCATCACCAGTTTTTTGGTCAAAAGCTATTTGTAAGGGTTGCTGATGGTTCCAATTATGAACATGACATCCAGTCTTGGCGCTGACGCCATTTTGCGCAAATTCTGAAACGCCAACTCAAAATGCAAAAGTTTGTCAAGGAATCGAACCACGGACCACTTCATCACCCCTTTTTTGGTATTCAGAGGGCCGTTCAGGAAAAATGAACCATGGTTCTGTGGTTCCCACATGCCCCTATATCATGCAAAAAACCGTTTTGAAAAAGCTTGGCACACCCTGAACGACCTCCCTGGTTAGACATCATTACGAAATGCAAAATTGCCCAGACCTCATGGTTGACAGAAATCCTGAGACTAACCGAGGTTCGAGCGCTGGACGCTCATGTATACCGAGTCATTTTTGAACTATTAGTCAATTTAGTTGGATTTTAGTTCACAAGACAACTTTCCGATTCCCTTCCAAATGTCTTCCTGTGCAGTTGGGCTCCACAAGCTGCACTTCTACGTAAGCCATTTTGAATTGTTTCCAATTTCGTATCCATCCGAATAGTGAGCAGTAAATAGATATTGATAAAAATCAATTACTTATATAAATCATATCACAATATGTGTACGCTGGATCTGATCAAACGATGCATAAATTCCCACTCAGAACATCCCCGCTTACAAGCGTTCATAACACATGGCGGCTA